AATAATAGTAAAAAGGCAAAAGTAGTAATAATAGTAATTCTAAAACAGAAAAAGAAAAAACCAACCAAAAAATTGGGGCAAGTCAGGGCAGGATACCCAGGCTCCGTCCATGCACGCAGAATCGGATGGAATTCCTACTGGCCCAGAAAGTGGGTGGGAGTGAGGGATGGCCGCACCTCTGTTCACCAAGAGGGTGTTGGTTATAAGAATAACAAGGGGAATGTCGCACCTTCCCAGTTGTCTGCATCGGAAATGTCCTTGGGTTTACTGCCAAGTCGAGCCTTTTCTTAAGTCCCTGGAATCTGGGAGAATTCTGTCGCTTTAAATATCCAAAATGGTCAAGCCGCTTGTAAACATTCAAAATAGCTGCAACCTTTGGACAGACAAAAGTCCACAGTTCAGCCCGCTTTCCTCTTCTCTGCTTCGCCTTTTGTTCTCCAGCCACTAGAGCAGTCCTCCATGCAGTCCCTTTCTATCAGGGCTGATTTTTAGGGTAATTCTTAGGTCTTACCACCCCTCAGGAGGGGTCACTGTGAGTCTTTGCCGGCTTGACGGCACATAACAACAACAACAACAACAACAAGCACTCCGTGTATCCAGTCTGTCTGTGCCATTAGGATCGCTGCCAGACCGCAGCTCTGTTCGTCTCCTTTTCTTGGTGTTTTCATGCAAATTCTTCTAGTTGGAGTTTGGTCCACTTTGGTATGCTTCCCTTCAAGACTCATGGATCCAGGATTATCTTCTGTATCTGTGTTAATTGGTTGCCCTTTTCTTTGTTGAAGAGGGTCTATGCCGTCTTTCTGCCTATTCCAACATCTTACCGAAACTCCTTGAGTCTCTTTTTAGCAACATACTTTTGCAAAGCTGTTTTCAGTGGTTGTTGTGAAGAAAAGCAAATCTCCCAGAAATCAATATGGAACAGGAAATGACGGTAGCTATTTGTAACTCCAAGATTTGAGAAATTTTGCATTGCTCAACAGGTGCACACATCCCATTAGTTAATAATTGTGCTTCTATAAGAATGACATAAATTTTTTCCCTCAATTTATTTGTATTTCTTCAAATGGCTACTAAGTTATTAAAGTGTAAACATTTGTATTTGGGAACCTCTGCAAGTACACTTCTGCAGGTGTAGAGAAAAGAGTGTAGACTTTGTTTGGCATGAGGTAGGCAAACAATAACATTAGCACTTATTATTACCACATCAGTGATCAATGATCTTATCATATCAATATGATAAGGTATTAGGAATTTCATAATAATTCTCACAAGAGATTTTCAATTGAATTAAACTTGGAAACAGTAGTAGGAACCCAAGGAATACTACCTAACAGATACAAGTATGAGGGCATGTGGCTGATAGAGATATTTCTTTATTATTCTTGTGTTTCTAAAATAAAATTATATAGGTTGTTGTTGTTCTTGTTGTTATGTGCCGTCGAGTCAGACCTGACTCATAGCGACCCCTCCTTGGGTTTCCGAGGTGGTATCACTGTGGAAGTAGATTGCCCAACCTTCCTGAGGAGTGGCTGGTGGGTTTGAACTGCCAGCCTTCTGGTTAGTGGTTAAATGCCTTAGGCACTATGCTACCAGAGCTCCCTAGTTAAGATGTATTCCTGAATTATTTCTGATCTGGTAAAATTAATACTGATAGGTTTTCTGTGAAAATTCAATGAACAAACCTAAATGGCAGTGCCTTGGCACATAGCAGTCATTCAATGAATGTTGTTGTTATTAGGTGCCGTCAAGTCAGTTTCAACTCCTAACAACCCTATGCACAACAGAATGAAGCACTGCCTGGTCTTGTACCATGCTCACAACTGCCGCCACGCTTGAACCCATCATTGCAGCCAGTATGTCAAACCATCTCCCTAAGAGTCTTCCCCTTTTTCACTGACCCTCCACTCACCAAGTGTGATGTCCTTCTCCAGGGCCTGGTCCTCCTGATAACATGTCCAAGTACATGAGATGAAGTCTCACCATCCTCACTCCTAAGGAACATTCTGGCTATACTTTTTCCAAGAGACTGTACTTCTTCTAAGACAAATTTGTCTGTTCTTTTAGTAGTCCATGGTATAATCAGTATTCTTTGTCAACACCATAATCCAAAGGTATCAATTCTTCTTCTATCTTCCTTATTCATTGTCCAGCTTTCATGTGAGTATGAGGCTACTGCTGATGTGTTGATTCCTATTCATAGTGACCCAGTAGGACAGAGTGGAACTGCCCCACAGGGTTTCCAGGGCTATAAATCTTTATGGAAGCAGACCATCACATCTCTCTCCTATGGAGTGGCTGGTAGGTTCAAACTACTGACCTTTCTGTTAGCAGCCAGGTGCTTAACCTCTGTGCCAGCAGTGCTCCTTGCATACAAAATGAAAATAACATGGCTTGAGTCAGGCACAACTTAGTCCTCAAAGTGGCATCTTTGCTTTTTAATACTTTATTTGTTATGATTTGGATGAAAGTTTACAGAGCAAATTGGTTTTTCATTCAACAATTCATACACATTTTGTTTTGTGACTTTGATTTCAATCCCCATGATGTAATAGCAGTCTTCCCACTTTTTCCCTAATATGTTTTTGTTTAAAGAGTTATTTTGCAGCAGATTTGTCCAATGCAATACATTATTTAATTTGTTTTCTTTTTAAATTTTTATTGTGATTTAGGTGAAAGTTTACAGAGCAAGTTTATTTTCCATATAGCAATTAATATACATTTTGTTTCATGACATTGACTGCAGTCCGTAGAGTGTAACAGCTCTCTTCCCACTTCCTCCCTGTAGTTACCTCTCCTATGTGCCCTTCTTTCCTATGCATTCCTACCCCCTGAGCATCATTTTATTTCTTGACTGCTGCTACCATGACTGTTCATTGTGGATCCAAGTAAAATGAAATCCTTGAGATCTTCAGCCTTTTCTCTGTTTGTCATTATGTTATTTATTAATCCAGTTGTGAAGATTTTTATTTTCTTTAGTTTAGAGTTAATCTGTACTGATGCCTGTAAATCTTTGATGTTTCTCAGTAAATGCTTCAAGTCCTCTTTACTTTCAGCAAGCAAGGTTATATATCATTGACATATTGCATGTTTTTATGAATCTTCATCCAGTCCTGATGCTGTGTGTTCTTCATGTAGTCTAGCTTCTTGGGTTAGACAAGGTCCCATGGTATAATTGTTAGCACTCTGGACTTTGACTATAGATCCGAGTTCAACTGTTGGTGGAACCTCATTCAGTTTAAGGAGCCCTGGTGACACAGTGGCTAAAGTGCTCTAGCATCAACAAAAAGGTTGGAGGTTTAAACCCACCATTCACTCTGTTGGAGAAAGATGTGGCAGTCTGCTTCTGTAAAGATTACAGCCTTGGAAACCATATGGGGCAGCTCTACCCTGTCCTGTAGGATTGCTGTGAGTCAGAATTGACTCAATGGCAACAAGTTTTGTCTAAAACATTCTCTTTAGGCCCTAGTTACATTATTTGAAACAGCCTCTAAGAAAACTTGGGGGAAAATTGAATATTCCATTATCTGATAGATTTAAGTTGTACTTGTGTTTCTCTTTCCTTTTTGGTATAAAGTTAATATGCTTAGTCCATAAAAATCTCTTAATGGGACCAAAAAAAAGAAAACCCAAACCCACTGCCATTGAGTCAGTTATGACTCATAGCAACCCCTGTTGGGTTTCCAAGGTGGTAAATCTTTACAGAAGGAGATTGCCCCATCTTCCTTCCAGATGGTAGGAGCAGATGGTAGGTCTGAACTGCCAACCTTCTGCTTAGGAGTCAAATGCCTTAAGCACTGTGCCACCAGAGCTCCTTCTAATGGGACAGCCACTTCTAAACAACATTCGTAAAATACCACTTCACATGTGTGTGATCTTGTCAGTGTAGAAAACACTTTAATATCTGCTATTTTCATTATCATGGTATTCCCTGAGGGCAGATATTATCCTCTTTTCATGGGAGAGGAAACTGAGATCAGAGAGATATGTGACTCATTTGGGATCACACAGGTTAGCAGATCCATGCGTAAAATCCCAAATATTTTAGTTTCCAATTTAGTGCTATTTTTATGATTCTGTGCTCTTACCTAGACTGGGGACCAGAACATGGGACTGCAAAGAACTCATGAGGTCAACTCTAGGTCCTATCTTTTGACCTTTGAGAAAATTACTTAACATCTCTTTTCTTTATTTCCTCATTTATTAACTTACACTGTAATTTTCCTGTGGGGTTGTTACAGTGCTAGAACCAGGATTCACATCCAGGTTATTTTGTTCCAGGGTCTGTGCTCTTTAACCACTACTCCTCTTTCCATCATAAAGGGGTGAAGTAAAATTTAAGAAACGGTTGTGTAGCAAGCTAGATGTAGAATGGGGTGTAATGACTGTATCAGCTCTCGCTCCCAGCTCTAGCCGAGTCTTCTAAAGTAACTCAAAGCTTCAAAGCCCAGGAGAATGGGATATGCAAGATGTTCACTGACCTGTAGTCATTCAAGAGGAGTGCTGTTGGTGTAGTGCCTTTGACTGCTAATCAGAAGGCTGGTGGTTCAAACCCATCAGCCACTCCTCGGAAGGAAGGTTGGGCAATCTATTTCCATAATGATACTGACTCAGAAACCCAAAGAGGAGTCACTATGAGTTGGATCTGACTCCATGGCAGTGAGTTTGTTTTGCTTTTTTTAGTTACTCGAGGGGGAGCTTTGGTGGTGTAGTACCTAAGGCATTTGACTGCTAACCAGAAGGCTGCTAACCAGCCACTCTTCGGAAGGAAGGTGAAGGAAGCTTGGGCAGTCTACTTCCGTAGTGATACCGCCTCAGAAACCCAAGGAGGGGCTGCTATGAGTCGAAATTGACTTGACAATGGCAGTGATTTTTTTTTTTTTTTTTTTTTTAAGTCATTCAAGATGTAGATGCAGAGTGAGAGAGCAGGCTGAGGATTTTAGAAATGTGTGTTCTACTGTGTTTTTAAGCTGTGTCAGACTTTTTTTTTTCTTTCCTTACAGCACTGGGAGGTATTCAAAAAAGTAACAGAAGTCTTCATTTTAGTTCCTGCACTTCTTGGTCTCAAAGGGAACTTGGAAATGACTTTGGCATCCAGATTATCCACTGCCGTAAGTTTTTTCCTACTTCAAAGTATATATATATTACTTGTGGTGTTTCTAGTAAGGTGAACTTTACTAGGAAAAAACGTGTTTTTTTCTCAGTCCATTGCTAAGTTTCTGGGTCACTCAGAGCTATGCTTAAGTAGTTCTGTCTGTTATAACCTAAAAATCAGATTAGATCTTCTGATCTCTGATTTATATGTTCTTCTTTATCATGAGAAGTAGTATTGTACTTTGCCTCTTTTTATGTCAGATCTTTCTGGCAGTTATCATCAACTTTAAGACATGAGGTAAGTCAAATACTGAGATTTTTCATGGTTGCATAGTAGGTTGATGGGGTTTTTAAATTTTTTGTGATATAAAATTAACATGTGCTTACAACAAAAACTAAAAATGGTAAAAAGTATAAAGAAAAAAAATTTAAACTACCTCCAGTTCTCCATCTAGAGGTCACTACTATAAACATTTTGGTGTAGATCTGTCCTTATGTACCTGGAACTATATTTATGTATGGCTAGGTATATCATAATGTATATTGTTGTTAGCTGCTTTCGAGTCAGCTCTGACTCAGGATGACTGTATGTACAACAAATGACACATTACCTGGTCCTTTGCCATCCTCACAATTGCCAGTGTGTTGGAGTCCATCATTGTGGCTGTTGTGCTAGTCCATCTCACTGAGGGTCTCCCAAGCCTGCATTGACCCTCTACTTCACCAAACATGATATCCTCCTCCTGTGATTGATTGATCCCTCATGATGGTGTGTCCAGAGCAGTATAATAAGACAGTGTTCTGTTTTGATTCATCAGTTTTTCACTGACTGATTTTCAGAAGTAGATCTCCAGACCTTTCTTCCTAGTCTGTGAGTCTGGAAACTTCACTGAAACCTGTCTACCATGGAAGACCCTGCTGGTATTTGAAGCACCAGTGGCATAACATCCAGCATCAAAGCAACATTCCAGCCACTGGAGTGTATCAAACTGATAGACAGGTGGTGGTATAATGTATGTTTTACTGAGTTTTTTCCAGTTGCTGTCTTTTTCCTGTGGTCTACATTGCATTATGTTATCAGAACCGACAGATTACCTGGGTAGAACACAGCTGGAAAGACTTTTGGGCAGGAGAGAATAGAGAAGAGGTCTTGAAAAACAAAAGCAGCAACATTTGAGGGAAAGGAACGTTATTTAATGGGAGTTAAAATGTGGCTTTAGTTTCATTTTGTTGGAAAGTGAACTTTGTTCTTATATTTGTTAAGCATACAAACATTTAAGCAATTTAGTAACTTTGCCAGAAAACTAAAATTTTGGCTCACTTACCTCAAAGAAAATATTTTTAATAGCAACATGCTTTAGCAATAATCCAGCATTTCTTTGGATTCAAATAATAGATTAAATGTGCCTATCAATTTTGAGAAGGAGTCCTGGTAGCTCAATGGTTAAGCACTTGGGTGCTAACTGAAAGACTGATAGTTCTAAACGACCAGCCAGTACACAGGAGAAAAATAAAAAAGTTCACTTCTGTAAAGATTATAGCCTTGGAAAGCTATGGGACTGTTCTACTCTGTTCTATAGGGTCCCTATGAGTAGGAGTTGGAAGGAAGGTTGGGGAATCTACTTCCGTAGTGATACCGCTTTGGAAACCTAAGGAGGAGTCGCTATGAGTTGGATCTGACTCAATGGCATGTAACAACAACAACATGAGTAGGAATTTACTTGACAGCAACGGATTTGGGTTTTGCTTATTCATGTTGAAGTTGACCATAATAAAGGAAATCTGCTTAATAAGAATATTCTGTAAATGTAATTCTTTGTTTAATTTGATGAGAATTTACTATTAAACCTGAATAAAGGTAAATTTAATATTTTTGGTTGCTTTTTGTTACAGTGTTTGTATTTTGAATTAGGTGTTTTCTTCACCTGTGTTTATATTTAGTTGTCTGTTCATATTTAAGAGTGGGGAACAACAGAGCCAATGAGAAGTTCTGAGCTGAGTGAAGAGTGGTCTAAGCAATGCAAAGACCCAGAGGCAGGACTCTCTTGATGTATTAAGTCAGTGGTTCTCAAAGTGTGGTCTCCTGACCAGCAACATCACCCTCACCTGGGAACTTAGAATACCCATTCTCAGCCCCACTCCAGAGCTACTGCAACAGAAACTGAGAGTATGGGTCAGCAATCTGTATTTTAATAGGCTCCCCAGATGACTAATACGCATAAAGTTTGAGAGTCACTGTGTTAGATTAAGGTTATATAGAGGCCAGCCAGTAGGCCTGGAACAGTGAAAGGGTGGGAATCTCAGGAGATGATGTGAGAGAACTAGCCAGAGGCCAGGTCTTAGAGGACCTTGTGGCTATTGTAAGGACTTTGGCTATTATATTGTGAGAGGGGAAGCCATTGGAAGGTTACAAACAGAGGAATGATGTGATCTGATGGATATTTTGAACAGATTACTTAGACTATTGTGCTGAGTCAGGGACAGAGGGGGCCAAGGTCTGAAGCAAGAAGACCAGTTGAGGGTCTTTTGATGTAATATAGTCTAGATATGATGTCAGGAGCTCTGGTAGAGTAGTGCCTAAGGCATTTGAGTGCTAACCAGAAGGCTGGCTGTTCAAACCCACCAGCCACTCCTTGGAAGGAAGGTTGGGCAATCTACTTCTGTAGTGATACTGCCTCAGAAACCCAAGGAGGGGTCACTATGAGTTGGGTCCGACTCAATGGCAAATAACAACAGCAGTAGCAGAGATGATGTTGGCTTGGATCAGGGAGGTAGTCACCAATGTAATGAGAGGTAGTTGGATTCTAGAACTAATTTTAAGATGGAACAGACTGAATTGGCTCATGGATCAGATGAAATTAATGACCAGGAGTAGTCATTTAATTCTCTCTGGATCTGAGAAGGGTTAAGTTTTTACTTTCCTCACTTATACCTGCTCATTCTTATTATAGCCCCCCAAATGTTTAGTATCTCACTGTGTACAAGGCCCACTTTAGACAGCTTCTATTTCCTCATATATTTTTTTAAAAAAATGCATAAATGAAATATAATGTATGTACAGGGAAATACACAAAGCTAAAGTGACATGGGTTAATGCTTTTTTTTGGGGGGGGCAATGTTCCCCCTGCCACCGTTGGTAACCAACAAAGAAACTTTCCTTCCATACGTAAACCTTTCCTTGACTTTTTACAATAATGAACTAATACTATATTTGTACTTCTATGATTGACTTATTTCACTCAGCATAATGGTCTCCAACTTCATCCATGTTATGTGGTGTTTTGCAGATTCTATATTATTCTTTCGTATTGCATAGTATTCCATTGTGTGTATGTACCGTAGTTTGGTTATCCATTCTTCTGTTGATGGGCACCTAGATTGTTTCCATCTTTTTGCTATTGTAAACAGTGAACATGGTGTGCATGTATCTGTTCTTGTCCTGGCTCTCACTTCTTTAGGATATATATCTAGTCATGGGAAGGTTGGGCTATCTACTGCTGTAGTGATACCACCTCGGAAACCCGAGGAGGGGTCACTATGAGTCGGGTCCGACTTGATGGCGCACAACAGCAACAACAACAATGGGATTGCTGGGTCAAATGGTATTTCTAATTCCATTTTTTTAAGGAATCGCCATACTGTTTTCCACTGTGGTTGTATCATTTGACAGTCTCACCAGTAGTGTATGAGAGTCCTAATCTCTCCACATCCTTGACAACATTTGTTATTTTCTGTCTTGTTGAACTTTGTCATTAGTACTGGGGTGATACGGTATCTCATTGTTTTGATTTGCATCTCTCTGATGGCCAGTGATCATGACCCTCTCTTCATGTATTTGCTGGCCGCCTGAATATCCTCTTTGGTGAAGTGTCTTTTGCCCATTTTTTAATTGGATTGTTAATCTTTTTGTTGTTGAGGTGTTGGAGTTTTCTGTACATTTTAGAGATATGTCATTTGTCAGATATGTAAGTATTGATATGAATTTCTTGCTGTCGTTTTGTTATGTGGTGTTGATTTCTTTGTTCCGTATAATTTCCTGTGCTGAGCTCATTTTGTTTATGAATCGTGTTATCATTTCCTTTGTTGCTATTGTTTCAGTATTTGCTAAATATTTGTGCTGGTCCTCTTTTTCATTTTGATGTGAAGGTTTATTATTTCTCTTTGAGGTTACCCTGTGATTTATAATTTTCTTCCCAAGTTTAGAACAGTCTATTCTATCTTGTAGTTGTCTTGACTTCCCTACTATTTAGTTCTGTAACTACACAGTTTTTTCCCCCTTTTTGGTTTGCAGTTGTCCTTATTTTTTTTGTCAGTTGATGTCTCTGGTTCCCTGTTCGCTATCATGTAGGCTTATTTACTTTGGCTACTTCTATAACTGGGTTGGTTTCTGGGTTATGTCATCATGTGTGTTAATGGTCAGTTATTGTTTACTGGTTCTCTGTCCAAAGGGCTCCCTTTAGCGTCTCTTGTAACGTTGGTCTGGTTTTAACAAATTCCCTTAATTTCTGTTTATCTGAAAATGTCCTAATTTCACCATTATATTTGAAGGACAGTTTTGCTTGTTATAATACTTGGTTGGAAATTTTTCTCTTTCAGGATTTTATACATACCAACCCTTGTCTTCTCACCTTCATGGTTTCTGCCGAGAAATCTGAGCTTAGTCTTATTGATGGCTTCTTATAGGTAACTTTTTGTTTTTCCTGTGCTGCTTTCAGGATTCTTTGTCTTTGGTTTTGGTGAGTTTGATGATGATATGTCTTGGTAACTTTCTTTTGGGGTCTATCCTGTTTAGGGTTCATTGCACTTCTTGAATGGATATATTCTCATCTTTCATCATACCAGGAAAATTCTCTTCCCACAAATCTTTGATATTTTTTTCTGTGGTTTTATTTGTCTCTTCCTGTTCTGGAATTCTGATTACATGTAGGTTATTCCTTTTGATGATATCCCACGTGAACTTTAGGCTTTCTTCATTTTGTTTTTATCTTTTTTTCTGATTGATTCCTTTCCAAAGAAG